CAACTTCTAGCAAACGTATACAACGAAGCCACTAACCTACACATTCCGTCAACTACCACTCCCTTTACAGGAAAACAGGAGCAATGGGTAACACCAGAACTTATTGAGGTGGTCAAAGCTAAATGCACCTCTTGGGCCAAGTACATTAATGCAGGTCGAGATACGCACAAATTTCTCAAAATATCGCATCGCACTGCCTCCAAAAAAGTTAAAAAAATGGTAGGCAGAAGTATGAAGAGCTACTTGTCAGGGATTCCGAAAGCAACCCTAAACGCTTACATGCATATATAAGAAGCAAGCAGAGCGTCAGTAACAACATTACATCGCTTGAAACAGTCAATAACAACATCACAACCAATACCGGTGATATATGTGCATCGTTAAATAACTATTTTCAATCAGTCTTTGTTTTTGAGCCCGAAGGTTCAATGCCAGGCTTTAAAATTCGTACAGAAGCAGTTTGTGTCATCGATTCAGCAATAATATAAAAATGCCAAAATAGCCTTGATGAAAGAAAATCAACTGGCTACGATGGCTTACATCCACGGGTCCTCAGTAAATGTTTAGCTACCTTTGTCAAGCCTCTTTCGCTTATCTATAAATGCTCATTTGCAACTGGTGTAGTTCCTGATTTGTGTAAAAAATTGAATGTAACATCTATTTTCAAGAAGGGGAGTAGGCTATTAGCAACCAACTGCGTAATCTTTGTAAACAACCTACCGGACAGAATTACTCATCATATGAAACTGTTTGCCGATGACAGCAAAATAATAGGAATAATCAAAAAGAACTCAGACAGCATCACTCTCCAAGATGACGTTGACAGAGCAGTGGAATGGTCACACATTTGGCTCTTGCATTTCAACGTTGAGAAATACAAAGTAATGCATGTTGGGCGCAGATGTAACAAGTCGACGTACAAATACTCAATGTCTAACGTCAATGGCAGCCGTCGTCCTCTCGAAAAAAACCGCAGTCGAAAGAGACCTTGGTGTAATGGTCTTGAATGATCTTTCAGATCAAAGTCAGACCGAAATAGAGTCAGCCGCATCAGTAGCAAATAGAATGCAAGGGCGACTCAAAAAAACATTTGGCAGTCGCAGTTTTTATTTATGTATCTCACTTACATTTGCCTCCATCTTGAGTTTGCTGTACAAGCCTGGTCACAACATTTAAAATCAGACATTGCCATTCTGGAGCAAGTCTAACAACAAGCAACAAAAACAATATCAACTATTAAACACCTGTCCTATGAAGATTGACTCCAACGGCTCGGTTTAACAACTCTTGAAGAACGCAGCAAAAGAGCAGATCTTATAGAGTAATTTAAAATCACTTGTAAACTCGAGCTTGTCAGTTTTGTCGCCCCGCAAAAATTTTCAAATAGTAAAGATAAGTATATTCTAATAGGCCTTAACCATAAACTAGAACGTCAGATGGTAAAAAACTTTGAGGAGGGATTTAACTTTTTTTCAAATAGAATTGTCTCCCCATGGAATGCGCTTTTGCAAGAAGCAACGCTCAATCCATCAACGCTTTCAAAAACAACATAAGAAAGTAACTTTATAGATACAACTGCTGCTTTGTCTGTAGCGTCTGTATCTCCATGTTCGTCAGCATAGAGGGGCTTGGTGTAGCACCTCTTCATCAAATTATAAATGGATTATTGTATTTGTATTTGATCACTGTAATAAATAGTAATAATAATAATAATATATATGTATATATATGTATATATATATATATATATATATATATATATATATATATATATATATATATATATATAGGCCTTGTTTTAAATAAAAAAGTGCTTAATGCATTAGCTTAACACAATTTTGACGTCATAAAATTATCTTTATTTTTTTTTATAGACGTTAAGTGTTTTAACTACCACAATAAATAACCGCAAACTAGTTCAATTTAACAATTAACTCAAATAACTATAAGTGTTTTAAATGTAAATTTATTATGAAAATTTTGTAATGTTTTCAATTGTTATTTTATTATTAATTTTAGTTTAATATTATTTAGTTAAATATATATATATATATATGTTTTAATTATTTCTGAAATTTGTTTTTGAATAATTGTTTTTAATCGTTATTGAATAAAAAATAATAATGATTTTTTTTATTTTTAAAAATGTAAACAAAAAATATTAACATTGATAAACACAAACCCATGTTAATTACTTAAACAACAATTTTGTTTTGACAAGCAAAGAAAAATTCTTTTTAAACTTATCTTGTTTAGCGTTTCAACTTGCGTTTTATAAAAATATAAAAAAGTTTTGTCTGCTTTGAGCATATTTTTGATAATTAGTTTAGAACGCGTTTGCCAGGAATTTAATTCATAAATTTTTTTATGTTATTGTAAAAAATATTTTACTTTTTAAACAAATCACAAAGAAACAAAGCTATAGAGAAAAATCATTTTTAATGATTAAATCTTTTTTTTTTAATTTTAGGAAATTAAAAAAAATATTAAATTAAATATGAAAGTCTTAATTATGCAAACTCTTTTGTTAATTATTCTTAAAACAAAAAAAACAAATATTTCTATGCAAAACTTTAATTGTGCAAACTCAAAAAAATACTCAACTTAAATAATTTAAGTATATTTAATAATTTGAATCGTATCTGTTTATAATAAATTTGTTTATTAAAAATTAAGTTCCTTAACTTATAAACAAACTCAAAAGTATTTTCATTCTACGTATAATTACGAAACTCTTTTTTTTTTCGTTTGTAAGCAATTTAACTTTATTAAATAAAAAAAAGAATAAATATGAGGTAATCTTTGTTAAGAATAAATTTAATTTATTTATTGAACTATATTTTTATTTTTAATTATATATCAACTTAATTAAAATATATTAACATGTTAAAATATTTTAACATGACTTGTGTTATTTATAAACTGTTGGCCAGTTGCCCTTACGGCACCATTGTTTTTGGATAATATTTTATTTTGATGAAGATCACATAACTTATATATGATTTTAATAACGCAAGTCTTCTCTTTTTCTGTGATCATCGCATCGGCAAAGCATCGGCAAAGTCCCAAGATATAAAAGTTTTTAAAGTAAATCTTTTGTCCTTCAAAATACAATTCATATTCGAACTTTAAACAATTTAGAGATAATAGAAATATACAAGGTTTTTATATATTAGTTTGTTTTGTTTTATAAAGAATAATACATATTCATTAGTAAAAAATAAACACTGTCATTAAACTAAAACGTGCCTTAGTATTTATTTAACGGAACCTGTAATGTGTGCGTGCATAATGAAACCTTCGTTATATAAATCTATTCAACGTAATATTATTGTCATTAGCGGATGTTGTAGTCTACTCATGATTTCTTTACCTTATAATATAGCTTGATTTGTGAAAAAAAAAAACTTATTGAATTGCACGCAGAAGAAATTTAACAAATTGTCTTCATTTAAATATTGCGAGTAACAGGTAATTTTTTTTTTCTGTGCCTCCCCCTCCCCTCGCATAACTTAAAGGTAAAAGTATCTGTATACCTTTAACTAATAAGAAAAGTAAAGACATTTTTTTTTAATATCTCGAAAAAATGTCTTAATATTTTTGTTATCATGATAACAAAAATATTAAGACATTTTTTGAGATATTAAAAAAAATGTCAATTCTTAATTACAAATTTTTTTGCAAATGTTTTTTATTATAAATTCAGTAAAAAATTCTTAAATATAATACTTATAATACAAAAAACATTTATATTCTGTATAATAAATATGGAATATAAATTTTTTAAAAGTTTTTTACTGAAAACTTTAAAAAATTACTACTTTTTATTAAAAACATTGCAAAAAATTTGTAGTTAAGGATTGACAAACAATTTTTCATGTTGCTAAATATTTGGATAAAAAGTTTAGCGTCAAATTAATTGCTATAAAAAGGAAAGATATATCGTGATGAAAAGTTAAAACAATTATTTTTAAAGTAAATTCTTTTTTTTAATAAATATCTTTACATATCGTTATTTAAAAGTTAATGTGGTTTTTTAAAAAATTAATTACTTCTTTTATGTTACCGCTAATTTAAAAGTTAAAAAATGATAAAAAGTAGCTTAACCAAAACAGCTCTACGCGTACGTAAAAATCGCTTAAGGCGTATGTAAATCGCTCTAGGCGTAACGCTTTAAAACAAGGCCTGTGTATATATATATATATATATATATATATATATATATATATAGATTTATATGTATATATATATATATATATACATACATACATACATATATATATATATATATATATATATATATATATATATATATATATATATATATATATATATATATATACATATATATATATATATATATATATATATATATATATATATATATATATATATATATATATATATATATATTTAAAATATATATACATACATATTTAAAATATATATTATAAAATATAATATGTATATATATTATATATATATATATATATATATATATATATATATATATATATATATATATATATATATATATATATATATACATACATATACATACATACCTTATTAGTTTCTAATTAATAAATCAATTGAATTAAAATGAATAAACCAATTGACTTAAGTAAAATTTAAAGTTATTAATTTTATGCATAGTCTGCATTTTGGATAGTGATCATTATATTTCCTTTTTTTGTTTATTTAATAATTCAACTACTGTTGGTTTTATTAAAATCTTGTTGAAATATAACATAAATACATAAATAAAGAATTATATTATGCCCTTTCATAAATTAAAGAACATTTAATGTTTATATATTTTAATGATCATCAATAGTAAGTTGTTACTTTATATAAAACTGCATTGGTTAATTTTATTAAAAAATTATAAGAGAGAAATAATTAGAAATATTTAAATCTAAATGCAATTTTTTTTTTTTTTTTTTAGCAATTGTCTTTTGTTAGTCAAGTCAAGTTTTTTTTTACAATTTTTATTATAGATTCAATGACATCAGCAAATTATTTGTATCCTAAAGAAACATCTTTTGAAAAACTTGACAACAATTTTCTTAATTGTTATTTTAAAGATTCTATTTTTAATACAAGTTACATAAGGTGTCCAAATGGCTCGTTTTGTTTGGCATATGCTTTATTTTCCTATTCTTATGGAAAATGGGTTGTTAACATTTTAAAGCAAGGATGTTTTTATGAAAATGTAAACTTAGATAAATGTTCAAATAACCAGTGTGCTATATATGAAAATGAAGAAAGTAAGTTTTGTTGTTGTTCTGGCTCATTGTGCAACATGCCGGTGTTGTTACCTAATAAAAACTTTTCCGTATCAGGTAAACATTTGTATGTAAATCTTGTTTTATTTACATTTTGCATTGCTTTATTATTTATAGTTTAATATTGTTTTTTTTCTTCTTAATTAATCAAATCAAAAGAAATAATTTTTCAAACAAGCAAAATATTCAGGTTCATCATTACATGGTGTTGCTCAAGTCATCAGCATCGACAAGGATTCAAATTCAGTTAGCCTGTTGCTTGTGCTTGTTTCAGTTATGGCATCTGTTTTTGTTATTGCTGTAGTAATTTATAATTGGAAATTTTCAAGTAAGCCTGTTTCAAATAAAAAGAAATTTATGGATAATAATCTTCAAAATCAACAGGTTCAAACAATCAATGAAGAATTATCAAACCTTGATGATTATATTCACGGTTATATAGTTCATAATGGTAATCATACAACTGTTCGTTTGGCCACATACAAAGGTAGTACAGTGGTTGTTAAAGTCTATCCTCCACGATTTACTGCACAGTTGGTTAATGAGAACGAAATTTACTGCTTACTTCCAAGACATTCAAATATTTCAAATGTAAGTTGAGTAAAAAGTTTTTAAATTATTAATAATTGCTAATTAAAAACTTATTTAACTTATTTAAAATAATTATTTTTTTATTTACAATATTAAATATAGTAAGTAAAAAAACAACATTAATTTTTCTATGCAAAAAATAATATATTTTTTTTTAATGTAATTTTTCATTTAGTTTTGATTTCTTTGATCTTTGTAATTTCCACTGAAATTTTAAATTTTTTTATCTTCTGTTTTATTTTGTTATATTAAAATAAGCAATACAATTAATAAAAAAATATTATGGATTTTATTTTAATTTAGCTAATTAGAACTAGTTTTGTTCAAAATGGCTATCTTCTCCTAACATTTTACCCACAAGGTTCATTGTTTAACTATCTTCGCAGTAATACACTAACATGGAACCAGCTCTTTGTTATGATTACTTCAATATCAAATGGATTGTCATTTTTGCACAATGAGTTTATTTCAGATAAATGTAACTTTTTATTTTGCAAATTTATTTGTGTTAACAATAAAATGCATTAAAGTATTCATAAAACTTTTTGATTCTAGCTCAACCAGTTCGGCCAACTCGACCAGTTCTACCTGACCGACCTGTTATTGTTCATCAGGACTTAAATAGTAGAAATATTTTGTTGAAAGATAATGGTGAGTGTGTACTTGCTGATTTTAAATTTTCACTCAGGTTAGGGAAATCAAAACACGGAGAAAACTTTTCATTGGTGAGTTTTTATATTTATGAGAAAAAATCATTTACTTTAGATCTAGTTTTTTTATTGATGCATCAATATTCTTTAGATAGGCTCAGCAGTCTATGCTGCACCAGAAGTTTTGTTGCAGTCATTCATACCACGAAATTGGAGTGATTCTTTAAAAAAAGTGGATATTTATGCATTGGCTATGGTTATGTGGGAATTATGTAAACGCTGTCCTACCTTCTATAAACTAGGTTATCATTTTAAAAAATTTGATTTTGTTTATTACATAAAAATGTTGCATAGAATTAATGAACTTTGTTATTTTAAATAATACATAAATATAATATTTTGATATTAAATTTCATAAATTTGAAGTTGTTGTAAAAATTATAGTATACTTTATATTAAATGTTAACATGCATCAGAATTATTTTTTTTTTAATATTTTATTTCATCTCCCCAAGGCCATGAAGGCCACTACAGTCAGTGAGGCTACTTTAGTTGTGGTTACAACCCTCTCTCAACTCTATAACTCCGAAACATGAATCTTGATAAACAAAGCCGCTGCGCAGAGAAACAAGTTGAGCAGGGTACTACCAGGGACGTGGTGGGGATTGAACTTGAAACTTTTTGCTTATAAAATGAGTGCTCTACCACTACACCATTATAGCAATTACCACATATACCACTACTCCATACCGCAGTTGGCGTAAAACCACAGTTGACATAAAACTACAAATTTAAACTATCCAAATATAATATATATATATATATATATATATATATATATATATATATATATATATATATATATATATATGTATATATATATATATATATATATATATATATATATATATATATATATATATATATATATATATATATATATATATATATATATATATATATATATATATATATATGTATATATATATATATATATATATATATATATATATATATATATATATATATATATATATATATATATATATATATATATATATATATATATATATGTATATATATATATATATATATATATATATATATATATATATATATATATATATATATATATATATATATATATATATATATTTAGTTTTGGTGTGTTTGTTTTTATAGAAGCAGTTGTTGCAGAAAGCACTTTACCTTATCTTGAAGAACTTGGTATTCATCCATGTATTCAAAAACTCAGAAACTTTGTATGCGTAGACAACAAAAGACCGGCATTTCCAATTGAATGGAATTATTGTGATCCTGTAAAAATATTTTTTTTTGTATATTTTTGTTAATACTTTAAATGCAATTTTATTTAGTGCATTTAAAATAGAACATGCAAAGTAGAAAACAGTCCAGCTAAGTAGAAAAGTCCAGCAAAGTAGAAAAGTCCAGCAAAGTAGAAAACAGTCCAGCTATAAAAAACTCAGTAAAAAATAACTCAGGAATAAAATAACATAATATAACATAATAAAAAACTCAGTAGAAAATAACTCAGGAATAAAATAACATAATATAATAACCCAATAAAATAATTATTCAGCAATAAAATAATCAAAATTATGTAATGCTGAACTCTCATAATGTTGCTATACTCTTTATGATTTCAATAGTTTATGAATCAATGACGTAAAAACTATTTCATTTAAAGATTTCAATTGCAATAAATTATGAACTATAATTTTTCTTTTAAAAATATTTCTGAAACAGCTAAATTTTTTTCTTACAAAAATATAAATCTAGCTGTTGTAGTTTGAGTTCATTAAAGCAAATAAAGTAATTAGAAGGCATAAACATGGGACAAAAATTAGACAAAAGAATCAAGTTTTTAGTTTTCTAATAAAGAGTAAAAGTGGTTATTAACAAGATGATACCAAAAAAACCCATTGTAGTAGACTTTGAATAATGATCAGAAAAGGCGTCAGTTATATTTATTATTTGGTCAATTCTAAAGTAATTCTATTCTTATTATATTGGTCGCTCCACTTTTTTTGGTCAAATCTATGGTAAAACGAATCCTGTTAAAATCAATGGTTAAACGATTCCTGTCATCAATCCTATCATCACTAAAGCAAACATTTAATCACTTGCATTTGCTTTGCATCTATTTCTTATTATTATTTTCGAATCCTATATACATTGTTGTTGTTAATACATGTTTTTAGTTTTGGATTTTATGGATTGGTGCACATAATGTATGCAATTAGTTACAAAAATAATTGCAATATATCAAAAAATGAATTGAAATCTTAATCCGTTCAAAATCGAATCAATAAAAATTATTATTTTCACTGAAAATAGTATGCTGTTATTCTCATAATAATGTTAATAATACTTTTTTAAAAAAAGGTAATACTATCATTGTATTGCCTTTTTCTTATTATATATTATTTACTATAATAAATTGATATATAAATTGTATATATATCAATTTATTATGGTATATATTTTTTATTTTTCGTTATTTTTCAATCTTATCGTTTTTTGTTTGCTTTGAAGTTCTAGTATTTATATTATTATGTTTTACATATGTTTGTTTTATATTTAGATTGTTGAAATGCTAAAGACAACTATTACACAATGTTGGGATCGAAATCCTTCGGTTAGATTATCTTCTTCGTGCATATTGAACCGAGTTAAATATTTTCATGAGAAAAAACTTAAAGAATGTCATCTATCGTATAACTCTACCAATAAGCAAAATATTCCTGAGTTTTTTGACGTTAGCTAAAAGTTGAAGCATTTAGTTGATGCGACTTGTGTTTTACGTTTCCAAACCTTTACAAAATAATCCTTGATTTTAAAAGATTACCTTTTAAAACCGCCCGCGTTGTATTTAAAAATGTTCCGTTATAAATATTTAGTAAATAGTAAATAACTTTTTATAGATAAAAAACAAAATATATGTAAAAATTATAAATAAAACTTAATGAGAAAATTTTTTTTCTAAAATTGTTTTCGATTTTTAGATTCAAATCGTTGTTACAGCAATCTCACTCTTTCTCTTTTTATTTAAAAACACCCGACAAACGAAGCCATTGCACCATGCACCATTTGAGTTTAACACTATCAGAGACCTATCATAAATTGTCGTGTTATTTTATCGTTGAATAGCGCTTTGGACCAGACAATTGTAATATTTTTTATGCGCTCGTCTGTTTTGAAAACTGTAAAACCTAAATGCCACTGATAATAATGGTACTTTTATGCCTATATTATATCTTAATACCGTTTTGCTTTTTTATATTCTTTAGTTCGGCGAGTGCTTTACCACTTTTCAACAACTGCATGATATCGCAGAGACGGCTATATACAAGTTTATCAATAAAATTGAGAATGAACACAAATTAAGGTATTGCAATTTCCAAGTGCTATTTAATGGGAAATGATAGTTACAACTTTTAAAAAAAGTCTATACTTAATACTATTTCACTAAAAATTAACTTTCTCCTGTTGCCGTAGTAAATAAAAAAATATGAAAAGTAATTGCAATTTTTCTTGTGTTTGTCTTGATGTAAAAAAGTTTTAAACTTGTAAAAGGTATTTATGATAAGATTATTATGATCTTCTTTCAGAAGCCTTGTTTGTTTTTTTAAACGACGCACAGTACACTGTTAAAAATTTCCGTTAAAAAAACGGAAATGTATTCCGTTATTTCCACGGAAAGTATCCGTATGTCCATGTATGGATGTATCCATTCATTATGTACGGAAATTTTCCGTATTTGTAGCTAAATTTTCAAATACGGAAATTTCCCTTGTATTTATAACTGAAACTACATGTTGAACTGCCATTAGTGAAGATTTTTAAATTTTTTTTATGTACACATCTCCAAAAAGAAGTTCTGAAGTTTTACTTGAAAATTAAATTGCATCTTAATTTTCTTTCTTATTTAATATTTTAGTATTTTAGATATTTTATCAGAAAAATTTAATTAAATTGCACAATTATTTATTTATTAGTATTTATAGTTAAACATATAATTAAGCAAAAGTTAAAAATATGAAATGTTTTTAACAATATCTTAAAATATTTTTAAATTTGCAACGTAAATTAAAACAATGTTTTCTAGATCTGATAGCAATATATGTGGGATAACACTCTCTATTTTCTGAAACCATTTGCAGGCACTTCAATTGCAGGATATATGATCACCTATGGAATCAGTTAGAGTTAATTGGAAATGAGCAAGTTGTACTGATGTAGGAGTCACTGCATACTCTATATGTAGATAGATTCATATGTAAAGAAAAAGAGATACAAATATATATTTTCTTTTTAGAAAAAAATATTTTTTTGTCATTGAAGTTCTGACAAGGTAATGTGAAAAAAAAAAAAAAAATTAAGAAAAAAGATATTTTAAAACACTATCTAATTAATGCCAAGTGATCCGTAAGATTTAACTAATAAATCTTGAACAATAAATCTTTAATTGATGAAAAATATTACAAGTATCATTTCTTCACAGCAAAGTTCTAAATCTTAGTCCATAGTTTAAGACATTTAGTTCTTAAAACAAGAAATATTTATCTTGTTTTAAGAAATAAATTTCCTATCCCCCAATTTGTTTCTTAAAACAAGAAATATATATTCTTGTTTTAAGAAATAAATTGGGGGATAGGAAATTTATTTCTTGTTTTATGATTTACAGCAATATTGTTAATCTAGTGCTTATAGTTTAAGAAATATATTTCTTGTTTTATGAAATAAATTGCTGGATGAGAAATTTATTTCTTAAAACAAGAAATATATTTCTGAAACTGAAAAGCACTGAAAAATATGGAATCTGGAAGCACTGAAAAATATGGAATCTGGAAGTAATAATAATATTTATATTTTAATAAAAAGTTAAAAAGCTCATTTAATTTTTTTAAACTAATTTTTATTATATTATATTAATAATGTCTTTATTGTTATTTTTAAACTGATAATTTTGCTCATGGTCTGCCATTTGATGAATTTATTTATGGTCCATTATATCAAGAACACATGATACGATCATAATGTTAATAGACCACTGTTGTTGATTCATAGGTAAAAACAAATTTTTCAAGCAGTTGAAGTTTATATTATAAGCATATAAAATGTTTGAAAAATGCTTATGCAAAAGCTTATGCAATAATAAGTAGGCTTGAAAAAATTTAAAAAGAAAGAATAAGCTTATGCAAAAAGTGAAATAAGGCTCACAATATATGATTATCTTTCTTAATTCCACAGATTTTAATTTATAATCTATGTCATTATTATGTAATTTATTTTGTGTTTAGGTATATGTTTGACTATAATCAAGTGAATGCAAGAAAAAACGCAAAAAGAAAGAAAGATAACAGTTATTTGCTCTAAAAGCATATATATAATTATATATTATATTATATATATTGTATATATTTATATTATATAATATATATATATATATATATATATATATATATATGTATATATATATATATATATATATATATATATATATATATATATATATATATTGTATATACATATAATATAAATTATTATTTATATTATATATATATAAACTTTTATTTAACTTTTTTTATGCAATGTTTAGTGCAACAACTTATGTCATTAATAATTGCTGAATATATTTGTCATTAATTTTTTCTTGTAAATTTTTTTTTATCGTTTAAGGAATACATTTTTTGAATGAGTTTTTTGTAAAGTAAATTTTGCGCTTACTACGAAAATTTCCGGGAGCAGATTTTCCAGATATTTTCCGTTATATTACAAAAAAATCAGTCACTTGTTAACGGAAATATCCTTTTAAATACGGAAATATCTGTTGTTCCGATGATAGATATTTTCCGTAATTTTTACGGAAGTTTCCTTCCACACTTTATTTTTCCGTAAAACAACGGAAACTTTCTGGAAAATCTGCTGCCAGAAATTTCCGTAAAAAACGCGATATTTTTTTAACAGTGTAGGGCAGAATTGCTTCAAAACTGGACATTTGATGAAAATGAAAAAAGACATTATGAAACATTTTTTGGTGGTAATGTATAAGAGAGACTTTGGTCCACCTTATCCACGTGTTTTTTTTAGGGTAGGACTGACCCTTAACCCGGTAGAACCCATATCCTTGCTCAATTTTTTTGCTTAAAAAATAAATAAAAACTGCAAATTTTTTTCAGGGATTCTTCAGTTTTAGGTTTGCAGCTATCTTTTGCTGATGAAATCGTAATTTTAAAGTGCCTAAAATATACATTAATAGGTCTTTATAAAAAGTGCATTTAAAATTTTTAATTTTTTAAAACAATGAGCTTTTTGTTTACACTTAGATACAGTTTCATTTATATTTTATGAAATTGCTGTTGATTACAAAACTTTTTTTTTAGATTATAAATCTTTTTTTTGGATTATTTTTTGGATTATAAAACTTTTTTTTTTTTTTTTTTGCACTTATTGAGGTGTATTAGCGATTATCTTTTGTGTGTATTAGCGAAAATGAGTTAATTACATCAGTAGAAACCATGTAACAAAACCAGGTCATGAACTAATGACGTTCTTTTTTTGAGTGCGATATTTATTTTCTTGCAATTTTAAACGAATTAAACTAATCGAGTTTTCAAAAAAGTTTTTTTTGAGTGACTTTTTACATTAAAATCGAGTTACTGTAATTTATTTTAGCGAACCGATTAGAATACGTTTTGATATATATATTTTTTTAAACAACTTTGCTTCCAACAAGGTTGCAAGCAACCACTAATTAGTGTTGGAAGTTATTGAAAGAGAAAAGATAAAGATTGTAGAGCAAGATAACGATTGACAAACGACTTAAAAGATTGCAAATTATATGAATCAGGAAAATAAGATAAAGGAAGCGAATTCCAAATAACTGATGTTCGAGGAAAACCAGAATTTTTAAAAATAGTGTTAACAGATGCTGCTTTCCAGCAGGCTCGAAAACAAGACTCTGATAAGCACTTGTTGAATAGTTTTGAAAGGATAGACGACAGCTCCGGAGAACACTTCTGCAAGACTATAACAGGATGTTGTCCAGACCGCAAGCTGTAGAAGAGTCTAAGCAGGAAATCACTTTAGATACAGAAGCTGGAGTGATACGGATATCAAGCAATTGATCACATAGAACGCAACCAGTGGATATTATTTATTGATGCAAGCTTTTGATTTTCTTCTTTTTTCTATTATCACTTACCGGTTTTTAAAAAACTTTATTCGAAGTTACTCGAAAATTAAAAACGTCGAAAACAAAAATTAAAAACGTCTGACAATTGTAAATAAATGTTTAAAAATGTATGGCGTAATTTTCCTTAAGTCGAACAAGTGCCCTTAAAATGATTATTTAACTTAAGAATTCAAAACAAAAAACAAATTTTTTTGTCCAGTTTTAAAGTAATTCTGCCCCACTGTGCGACGGCAAATATAAGCAAGCAGAAGATATAGAATAACATACATATTTTTCTTTTTCTGTTTTAATATAACATAAGAATTTTACAATTCGTACTTCATAAAAAAAGTAAGTAATATAATAATAATAAGTAAAAAAAATAAAAAAATAAAGGTAAATAAATTAAACTAAACAATGATGTTTTTCATTCCTTTTTCAGACACGAAGTACAAATCCTTTAAACCTAAATAATTTTCACGCTGCGATTATAAACGTAAAAAACAATGTAACCAGCTAAAACTAAAAAGAATTACTTAAAAAGTACTGATACACTATCAATATAGTAGGGATCTATTGGAATTCCAGCCGGAATTTATGACTTTTGGGTCATTCCGGTTCCGTCCGGAATTAAATTTTTTTTTTTTCATTTACATTTGTTAATCGTTGTACAGCTTTAAATAACCAACAATAAAAATAACAAAAAAAAACAATATAAAATTACAACGATAGAAATTATAATAAATATAAACAAGGTATCTGAAACAAGATCGCAAAGATCTTGT